AAGAACTTGTTCGTTATGCTTCAGAAGATTGGAGACTAATGAGAATTAGGCTTGAGATGGATTAATGATTGTGCATTGAGCATTGACTCCCCTATACAGAATTTTATTGTTGTTAACAACCATTTGATCAATAAATATGAGATGCCCTCTCAAAAAAAAAAAAAGAACACATTCAGATGTACATATATTCTGTTGTATGTAGAAGGAAATTAAAGACACAAATCCTTTAAATGTCAAAAAAAGTAGGCAAAAGCACAGTACTGACAGCCAGGGATCCTTGGCGTGATAATTAGGTGGCCTGTGCCCTGGAGCCTTCAACGCGCCCCTGCGCAGACGGACACAACGAGCGCCGCGCCTCCCAGAGTGTGCGTGCGTCAGCGCACGGTTCCCCTACACCGCCTGCAGGGTCTGGGCACTCGTCACAACCCACGAGTGCCTGGTCAGCAAACAACAGCTGATCTGGCCACCTCCCACTACCTCGACACTCCGCGCCTACAGTCAGCAGGTAAGTCCACGGAGACCGGAAGTCCTTTTGCCCCGTCTCGTGCGCCTAACAACTAGCGCCGGTGGGAACCGGAAGCTTCTCTGCCCCGATCGCCGGAGCGCGTTCGCGTCGGCAGCGCAGGCGCAGTGGAGCTTGGGTGGAGCTGTGGAAGGGGAGGAGGAAGAGGCGGGAGCCGGGAGGCGGGGGCCGGTCCCAGAAGATGGCGGAGGTGGGGGTGAGTTGGGGGGTCACTCGACAAAGCCCGGGTGACTTGGTGCAGAGGGAAGCGGCCTGACGAGGTGATTGCCCTCGGGAAGAGGAACTTGTGTTTTGCAGCTTGGGAATCCTGTTCGCAAGTGCGGGTAGCCAGGACTATAGATGGGGCCTGAAGGGCGAGGGCGCTCCCCTTGGCTAGGAAGGGTCAACGAGGTCCTGAAGGGGACATCAGGGTCCGGGAGAGGTCGTAGGAGTGGCCGAGGCTATCCGGCCCGTGGAAGAGTGTCCGAGCCGAGAGAAGGCTGGAGAACTGCGGGAGAGGTGACCCCCGAGACCTGATGGGGCTGGAGGTTGGCGGGCTGTCAAGCATAGAGCTGTCAGGACTTGAGAGGTTTGTAGCTAGAGAGACTCAGGTTTGGGAGGGAGATGGATTCAAAAAGGTAGGTATTGTAATAAGTTTAGAATCCTCACAAAGGTATGTTGACATTAGGTGAGGAGTGGTACTTTTGGCATATTGGATTGGAATTGGAAGCCTTAGATGTGTGGATAAAGTTAAAGAGAACTCTAGCCAGGACCTAGAAGTCAGTTGGTGATTGATAGTTCCTGGGTTTTTAGGGTCAGTGAGAGTTGGCAATCTGGAAAAGGAAAGCAGTGTGGATGCGGCAGGCTGAATGAAGGGTGCTAAACTTAAGTGATAATGACCCATGTTTAGTTAGGGTTGGGAAAAAAGTCATTAAAGTATGGTGTTAGTTAGATAGTCTAGGAAAATATACCACGAAGAGCTCTCTATTTTGTAAGATTGCTGAGGAGATGCTTTAAGAAGGAATGGGTAAACTTGGCAGCTGGGCCATTGAAACTGGCCTGGATCAATACTGCACTGGAGCTGAGGATTGCTGGGGAAGACATGCCCCAGTCCTGGGTGCAGGGAGACTGAAGGCAGCCAAGCAGTGGCTAAAGTGTGTTTTCCAACTTTGGGTTTGGTCCTGATAGTGAACCACTGAGTGAAAATGAATGAAGGGATGCCTCACTCCTAGGGCTTCAAAGAAAAAAATGATCCGTGTGCTCTTCCTGTTTTCCCCCTTTCATTATTTATTTGGACATTGTGTTGAGTGGTATGTTTTGCCATAGTTCTCAGTACATATATGCTCTAAAGTGGCCAAGCAGTGAATCATGTACATTTGGGAAAAAAGATGGATTCTTTTTAAACTGACAGCTGTTGCATTTATTATGGTCTGGTCAACTGAAAAGTAAAGGGTGAAATGCAGTTTTATTAATCAGAAAATTATTCCCAAGTGACAGAGTTACCTTTTGGGACTGAGATTTGCATTTAAAACTAGTAACAGGAGGTAAATAAATGCTGCTTGCTTAATGGTTTCTGTGTTTGGGTTTTTATGCTAAGAGGAGAGATGAGTTGTAGTGTATTCAAGGCAAATATGTTTTTCTTTCAAGAAGTCTTTAGTGTTCATAGCCTGTGTTTCAAATTTATGTGCTTTTATTTAAGGAGAGTTAAACTTTGGCATCGATTTAAATGTGTTTTTCCTAAGATTAATGCTTATTCTATTTTGAGAATGCCACTCTAATTAAGAGAGCATATGACAAAAAATATGTCAGGTAGTAATTTAATTTTATTAATATTTAGTAGCCTATCTGATCTAAGTGCCTGAAAAGACAGGGTAATCTGAGGGAGCAAAATACTTCTGTGACTGCTAATCATTGGAAGATGAATGATCTTGTTTGTTTTTAGAGGGTGTTGCATTTGTTAAAATACAACTGGTTCTTAAGGTTCTAGGAGATTTTTTTGTTATTTTCAAATGCTTATTGCCTGAAAGTTGTTTTCAGTGGCAGACATAAACTTTGATTTTCATCCACAAAGCCCAGTATCACTTATTAATCTAAAAGTAATAATAGCATCCCACTAACAGGCAGTCAGATGCCAGGAATAATGTTTTTCCAGTTTTGAACATTTGTTATTGATCTATCCAAATTATTTGAATGATTTTTTCTTTTTGTTCTGTAACATGTTTATAGGTCAGAGCTCAAGGAAGAAATTTTCATTGACTGGAAGTTTTTTCTTTACCAGTTTTTAAAAAACATTATTTTGGTCTTAAAAGTACCAATGGTATCAACATGACTTTAAAAACTGTTTCTTGTGCGGCACTTAAATTTTTTTTGTATGGTGCTTGTAGATGGAGCAACGTGGTGAAAGGGAAAGAACCGTATGTTGTAACAATGCTATGATCACAGAAGATTACTTAACCTATTTCATTTTATAAAATGGGAACCAAAACACCTGCCTACTCACCAGGATTATTATTGAGGATCTATTGAGATACTTTCCTTTAAATGGTATCTTCATAATGGAGACTTCTTCCCTGATCAGCAGATTATTTCTCCAGTAATCTAAATTTTTCAAACAGATTTTAAAAAATTTTGAAGAATCAAAGTTATCACAGATGTAAGAGTCCTAACTAAAGGTATGGGTACACTTTGTTTTAGAAAATAATATCAATACATAATAAGAACACTCAACTTTAAAATAAATTAGGAATGCTTAGTCCAGGAGCTTTTACTTTAAAATAACTCACTCCCCTAATGTGTGACTAATATAAACATGATTTTTTAGGAACTTAATCGTTACATGATAGGGAATGAATGGTCTTGTGGAATTTCTACACCTTGGGATGAGTCTGCTCATTTTTCAGGAGTTCGGTTAACCTTTGTGGTAGGAGATCTTGTACTATACAATATCTTGTTGCTTCACTTGACCACTTTAAGTCTCATTCACTTTGCCATTAAAATAAGAGAATTGTTAGATTGCCGATTCTTAACTTGCTTTGAATCATGGGCTTTTTGAGTCCTTGATGTAAACTGTGGAACTCTGTTTCCAGAAAAATGCACATATGTACAACTTCTTTGATTTTGTTTAGCATCAGATTCACATACCTCCTGGAACAGTTGATTTCCCAATTCCCTTTATTTTCTTAAGTTTTAGGATACTCTGATTCTAAATCATTTTAACTTGTATTTTCTCCTCCAGTAATTATATACTATTGTATTATTTTATAGTAATAAAATTAGCTTTTTGTAATTTTAAAATACTGTTTTTAAAAAAATCTCATTGAAGTAAACATCAAATGAGTGTTGTATTATTTTTAAAGGAAACTTCTGGGGTGAAGTAGGAAACTATAAACATGCACTTCCAGGAAAGGTTGGATAAACAGCTGTGGCTGAGTAACATAACTAAACAGTTTAGAAAGTGTCTAACAGCCTTGAAATAGAATGAAGAAGTGTCTGTAGCTATCAGTGGCTTTCTTTGGGAGGGCATTGCCTCTCTGGGGGCATCTGGAATATGGAGGGATATTTTTGGTGGTCTCAAATGGGGAAGGGGTATGTGCTGGCATTTAGTGGGCACAAGCCAGAAGTGCTAAATGTTTTGCAGTGCTTAGGGAAGTTCCAGTGCTTAGGGAAACCACACAGATTGCTCTGCCTAAAGTGCCAGCACCCTCTGACAAACACTGGTGAGTGAGTGTGAGATGGGGCCTAGCACACTGAAACAGCTTTTTAAAACTGAAGTAATTTTGCATTTTGAAAACATTCAGCATAAAATACCCTTTGCCATTAATTGCCTTTTGGAAAAAATTGAAACAAACAAACAATTTGGGTTACTTAAATGTATATATACTCTCTGTCCTCTAATAGCTGTTTTAACAGAAGGGGGGTGGCTGCTGTGTCTACTGGAAATTTGGGAAGTGAAGAGTCAACAGCTGACCACATACAGTATGTAAGTTGGCCAAATGATCCTTTTTTAAAAAAACATCTTTTTATACCTTGATCTAGGACTTCTAGAGAAAATTTCCAGGTGTTTGTATATTTATTCTCATGGCCTTTGCGCTATTGTATAGTTGCCTACTTATATTGACATTAGTACCTTGAGAATATTCAGTTGAGATTCTTCTCTAAGTCTACCCATCTTATCAGTAACCAAATCCCCTTTGACACTCCCATGTGCCAAAAAGGAAGTCTGAGGAGTTGGGCTGAATGGGGCTGAAGGTGTAGAGGGATGACCATGGGTGTTGGAATCAGTCAGAGCTAAGGTAAAATGCCAGTTCTAATACTGCATGTCATGTGACCTCAAGCAGTTTGCTAAATCTCTTTGACTTAGTAGCTTCATTTTTAAAATGAGGATGATAACACTTACCTTTAGGATTGTTTTGAAGAATAGAGCTACTCTTTGGCCTGGAGTAGTTGCTCCCTAAGTGGGTACTATATCAGTAGTCATGATGATGATGATGACAATTCTGTAACTACTGAACACCTTGTTAAAAGTGGCCAGAACACATGATATGCTAATGTGCTGGATACCACAGCAAGGAATAGTTTACAAGACTAGGTCCGGAGGAATGTTTTCTAGGGCATTTTCAGATGCTATTCAGAATATATTTTTGTAAGAAACCCCTGTAATGTGTACTATTTTCTCTAGTTCTCTTAAGCTGTAGAGCTCAATTGTACAGTTGACTAAGTAGGTTTGTAAGGACTAACTTGAAGACAGAATTACACCCTCTGTGTTGGGCACAGAGCTTTGGGTGTGGCAGAGGCTCAGTGAAAAAATATGTTGTCTATCACATGAAACTGATAGGCTCTGAAGGTTACAAGTACTTTGAAATATTCTCATTTTCATATTGATTATTTCTAACATTAGCTCACATATACCCCCATTTATACATGAATTTTTTTCCAAATGTTCATTTGTAAGGTAGTTTGAAACTTAGAAACTCAGAGGAAATCTATTTTTAATGATGATCAAGTGCTAGGTTTGCCTTTCAAAAGGCCTGCTTAACCTCATATGGTTTGATTCAAAAAGTTAACCCAATTTAATTAAAGAAATATAAATATGTGGAGTGCCCACTGTGGGCTAGGGAAGCACCTTTCTGGGTATGCACAGTGTAGACTTGGTAGTGAATAAGACCTACGTAAAAAGTTTATGTATAGTCCAAATATGAATTATATTTAAATTTTTATGAAATTTAAAATAAACTACTTTGAGATTCAAAGGAAATACCATTTATGTACTGACACATGATGATGCTCAAGATATATTATTGCTGAGTGAGCTAAAAGTAAGTTATAAAAATACCTGTATAGTATTTTCCTATTTAAAAAAATTTTAGAAAACATGTAACAGTTAGGGAGGCTGAACATTATGGTGAGAATAAGGACTTGGAGCCAGACTGCATATATTTGACCCAGCTTGACCTCTTACTAGAGGTGTAAACTTTGTTAAGCTACTTAACATTTCTTTGCTTTTTGCCTCACCTATGAAATAGACATAACCACACTTACTTTTAGGGTTATTGTGGTAATTACATGCGTTCCCATACATTGGATGGTTATAGCAGCTCATAAAAATACTTAAATGTTATTGGTCTTAGATACATGGAAAAGAAAGATCTCTTTGGTTAGAGGAGTGAACAAATACCAAGACTGACTATACCAGCACATTTCTAGGTTGTAGGGGGTCAGGAACTTGCAGATAAAACTCCTTAGAATCTAGCCATTAGGTTATCTTCATTTTCTTGACTGCGTGTCTTCTGCTTCCTCCTGTAGCTTTCTCACAATGGTTCCCATGATTGCAACAATGGCAGACTGGGTCCAGGCGGGGTGGGACACAGGGCTGGTTCTGGTGAGAGCAGGTCCGGTCTGCTTTCTGTACTTGGTGTATATGTAGGTGAGTGGCTGGTTGCCTGTTTTTTGTAAGACACTTTTGTGCAGTAATTCAAATATATAAGCATTAAACATTAAAGCAGGTCATTTTGTTCCCCTACGGAGGTCATCCTCATGAGCAAGTCATGTTTTATTGTACAGAGTACATTTCCAGTCAGAATATGATGATTTTCTGCCAAGTGTAAGTTACTTATTCTGTAAAGTATAATGATTTCTGCCAAAATCTCCTTGTGCACCTGTTGTAACTCGTGGGCTTGGAGATTTAGGTAGAAAGTGAAACCTGAATTTTGATTTTTCAGATTCAGTGCAGGTGTCTCAGAGAACCTGTTCGGCTTTTCTCTGAGGTGGAACAAGCTGTTTTTATGATTATTCTAACCTTTTGTCTTTTAGTCCCTTATTCTGTCCTGGCAGATATTTAGGAGTAGTATATTTTATTTTTCAATACATTAGGCATATAAGAATGCCTTTTAAGCTACTTATTCAGTAAATAACTGATTTAAATAAATACATAAGCTTGTCATTTAATTTTTGTCCTTTTAAATTAATTTGAATTGAAATCAGAAAAAATATGTATTTATTAGATAAACATTGATTTCTTTTTTCCTATCTCTTGCAGGATTTCTGGTATATCCTATTTTAGGATGAGATGTGGTACTGTTGAAATGCCAGTCTGCTTTGATTCACAGACAGTTGGCTTTTCAGCTGGGAAGCCTTTTTTTCTTCTTTCTTTTCTTTTTTATTTGCCAGCTCACTGAACTTATGAAATCATGGCAGAAGGAGAGACAGAGTCACCTGGGCCCAAAAAGCATGGCCCCTATATTTCATCTGTCACTAGCCAGAGTGTGAACTTGATGATTCGAGGAGTAGTGCTGTTTTTTATTGGAGTATTTCTTGCATTAGTGTTAAATTTACTTCAGATTCAGAGAAATGTGACCCTCTTCCCACCAGATGTGATCGCCAGCATTTTCTCTTCAGCATGGTGGGTACCCCCGTGCTGTGGCACCGCTTCAGGTACGTGTAGGTTCTTTCTGTAATGCTTAAAAAGGAAATACTGTAAATGAGTGTGGATGTTGTCTGAATAGTACTTTAAAAAGGCCCAGCTATATTGAGGTATAATTTAAATATAATACAATGGACTTGTTTTCAATGAACAGTTTGGTGTGTTTAGACAAATGCATACGGTCCACTGCACCGTCCAGTGGTGGCACTTGCCCTTCTTCACCTGCAGTTCTCTGTTCTTCTGCAGCTCGCTCCCCACCCTCAGCCTCAGGCCACCACTGATCTTTCGGTCATTACATTATTTTTGCCTGTTCTAGAATGTAAAAGAAGTGGAAGTATAAAGTAGCTGCTCTTTTGTATCTGATTTCTATCTGGCCTATGAACTTTAAAAAAATTTAATCCTTTAATAGCAACCATAAGTCCCTTAGGGATGAGGCTTACAACCTCTTAAGTTTGTCCTTTCTTCAACCCATTTCATGTAAGTCTGATTTTAAGTTATTTTGATGATGATCATCATCATTGTTTGACTTTAAGGGTTTGATATGTGTTATAGTCTTATTTTTGAAGTAAATTAAAGTTGAAGGATAGAATAGTTTTATTCAAGTTTAAAAAGCTTCATTTTATTTTTTAAATTTTTTTGTACATGCTTTTTTCCTTAGTATCTTATTTTTAGATGAACCTTAGGAATGATAAATACAGAAAAAGATGAATAAAGTAAATTCTCTTTGCTTAAAATCATTATCCTGTTAGCTACTTTAGATCTTTTTTGGTAAACAGTGTGTAATGGATAAAGTGAAACATTTCAGAATGCCTCATTGATGCTGAGCTTCCATGATGGATAGCTCTTTAACTTTTTCTAATCATGGAGACCAATAGATACAATAAAGTAATAGAAGGAAGCCATAATTATGTAGCAAAAAACAATTCTGATTGAGGGAGAAAATCGCTTTTCAGAATGTCCATTTGGTGTCTCTTATAATATAATGTAGATCCTTCTTAACTTACATCCTAGAGCTGGAGGTTGAAGGGTGAGGAATTGTGAGATGTTTTGGAATAACCTTGTGACACCTACTGGACAATTACATCATCCCATTGCATGAATGGAAGGGCATGTTGTAAGGTTTTGGTGTGGTTATATATTGTTGTCTCTATTACAGTATTCTCGCTGAAAGAAAAAGAGCACAGGTGAAGTACAAAGAGAAGAAAACACAAATTACTTTTTATCATTCTCGTTGTATCTGCTTAGTCCTCATGTATTTTCCTTTCTTTCATTTAAATTCAAAAGAGAAAAATAGAGTTTTCCTGACATTTTTCTCTAGTTCTTTGTTTATTTTTTCTTATGGTATAACTGCTACATGGCTACTAATTGAGCTTTTTGGGGGTTCAGAGAACATGTCTTTGCAGGATAGACACAAGGAAGGCCAGGGGAGGGAGCTATTACTTATTGAATGTCTAGACACATTCCTTAACCCCAGGGATCTAGGACAAACTTAGGAGTGAGATGTTTGGCATTGTGCCTTTTTTTGTGGGGATTAGAAAACTGAGATGAAGATCCAGAGTCCCAGAGCCAGTGAGGGTGCAGTTAGGTCCAGTATCACATGCTGGGGAAGGGGGAAGAGGAGCTGCTCACATGGTCCTCTACTCAGGCTGCCTCTTTTGAAGCCTGAAGACTGTCAGGCTTGGGTGGATAAACTGGTGTGTGTGTGTTGCACTTTCTGGACTGAGGCAGGAGAACTTAACTGAGGTTTCATTGTTACCTCCATTTTGGAGATGAACTGGCTGCTTCTGTCTCTCATGTGGGCACTTCTGCCACAAACTCCTATTTAGGAAGGAAAAGTCCAGATCTCACTTTGTCCCTGCTTACTTTCCTTACCTCAACCACTAGATTTGTCACTGTCACAAATTTAATCTTAAACCTTTTCATTTGGGGGAGTTATATTTACATTTCTTAAGTGTTTCTTCCAAAAGCAATGCTTTCCATGAGGTACAGGGCAGCGAAAGTCAAGGCATAAGGAAATCTAGATTCCAGTTAACTCTGCTACTGATATTGTTGGGTAGGTCACCGTGTTTAATACTTGAAGGTGAAGATACCAGATTTGTGAAAGTTGCCAAAGGTGAAAAATGGATTCTTGTATAATTGCTGCAGTGCACCCCTCCCTTCCCCCAGTTTCAAGGAAAATGTCAAGGATAAGACAAAGTAAATGTTACAAGACACTTGGAGTGCACAGGTTTGCATGTAGGGTAGAATGTATGTTTTTATTTATGTATGTTAGTATACATTTTCAAAGTGCATTAGGCTCTTAACCATCTTAAGTCAGAAAAACTCATAATTGTCCTTTGATTATCTTGTCTGACTAATATTCATAGATTGAGCAGCTACCCTCAGAAGGTCTCTAGAATCACCACTTTCTGCATGTAAACAGAGCGGCCCTTGGTTATTTGCTACCCTCTCTGTGACACACAGTGCTGGAAAATTTGCTAGTGGTGCTTCTGGAGGGACAACTTAGTAGAGAACTCTGGTGAATTTCTTTTGATTTAATTTTCCTTTTCTTAGTTCCCTATTTTTAGTTTAATTAATAGCTGGTGTTTCAAGCTAATTAGCTTCTTTATGTGTTCAGTGCATTACAATTGGAGTCAGAAACTTCTTGAATGTTATTGAGAGCCACAAAGGAATCTTTCTAAAGAATAAATAGGAAGAAAAAAAGACAACTATCATTGTGTGGGTAAAATAACTAGAGAAGTTGACTCAAAAATCACAACTAACCAGATTGTGTCCATACCTAAGAAACTAATGTCTAATTTAAAGAGAACAAACAAATCTTTCCTGTTTAGCCATGCAGCCAGTTAGATAATTCCTGGAGAGCCTTGCAAGACTCCTTCCTCTCTCACCTCCCTCATCTGGTTTCCAAGTTTAAATCTTTCTTCTATCTCTTTCTTGGTCCAGGCCCTCAACCATTCTGCTTGCAATTTTTAGTCTTTTCTTTTCCTGCCTCTGATTTTGTACCAACTCCCACTGTAGCCACCCTAGCCTGTCTCCCCTGTCATGTGTTATACACTCACTGCTGTAAGACTCATTGCTTCTGTCTTTGGTACAAACACAATGGCATCATTCCCCTGATACCTCTGTGTCTACAGGGTAAAGTCTGTGATATGGTCGTTGCCCACTTTCATTTTCCTCAGTCTTTCTGGATCCTGCTGCTCTCTTTTGGTCTATAAAGTTTACAGCTTCTAGGAAATACAAGGTATTTTCCATTGTCCATGCTTTTTTTCAAGACCTTCCCTTTGATTAGAAGGCTATTTCCACATGACTTACCTGCTCAACACTCCTGTCTCAAGGGGCACCTCTTCTGTGAAGTTTTCCTCATGTGGGAAAAGCATCCTGCTTCCCTCAGCAGTGCCAGAATAAGACTGGGTCCCCACTGGGCCCTGGCAGTGCTATCTCTGACTTCTCACTGTATTTAATTGTTTCTGTGGTCACTGTGGGACTGAGATCATGTCTTACTCTTTTTTCTTTTTGAATTTCTAGTAAATGTCAAGAACTAGACACATTGGATGCTGAAGTATTTGTTGAATGAAACATTGCCTATCCTGTAGTAGTTTTCATAAAAGTGTATCTCATTCAATGGTTTTGTTTTCTCAGTCCCTTTTCCTTGCAAAATGTTTAGCTTAACTGCTCCTTTTAGTGCCTCACTACATTAAACACACTACTACAGAACAGTGATGACTTAATATTGATGTTTTACAAATTTCTTTTGTTTTTGGCTTGGTTGGCGATAGCTAGTCACTGGGAAATTGCTTAAATCTATCTCAAGAAATGTGATTTTACATTAGAGAACCATCTGATTATGCAGGTCTGTGTTTGCAAAGGATTTTTACACAGGGATGATTTTAAGAATCTCTTGTTAAAATAAGAAAGTGGAGAAAGAGGCAAGAAGCTCAACATACTTCTGCTGAGCTCTCAGAGTGTAGTCTCCCCATACTGTAGATACTGCTATCAGACTCTGCCATACCTTTATTTAAAGGAGAGAAAGAAGACATTTAATAGGAAGCGACAAGCTTCCTCGAATTCCCCCTCTTGGTGAGCAACAGAGAACCATGCATACTCAGTGGATTTGATTTTTATTGGCAAATCCCAAGGTTGGCAGCATGGCAGTTTAAATTCCTTTTTGTGTTTTGCTTTCTTTCTTCAGTTGTCTCTTCTTTGTGAAGTTGCCGTCATATGCATAAAAATATAGTCAATTTTACTTATTTATATCTTTGCCACACACATGTCAGTATTCTCTGTGTGATAACTTTTCACCTATGGCATCAGTGCTGAGGAAAATTGACTTGGAATGCCTGATCTTAGTTCATTTTACTCAGCCACAGGCAAACGGAGAGGAGAGCAAGTGAGCAAGAGTGAGGGGTGACATGTGAGCTATTAGGTGCTGATCCCTTAAGAAAAAAAAAAAAGGTAATACTCGTATAGATATATTTCAAGTGTTAGGCATGCTAGCTGATGTTTTAATTTTGTGAAGATCTGGAAATGCTGTCAGTTAATCTCATAGGATTTTAGGGCAGAGTCTTTTAAATAGGAATATCATGTGACACTATAAAATTTACTAATAGTTGTTGGAGCTCTGCATTGTTGAAATTTATTGTTAATCTCTTGATGGTATGTGAGCCGTCTATACTTAGCAAAAGCCTGATTCTAAAGAGTGCTTTCAGATTTGAATTAGAAAATGCGTACGTGATTGCAGCAGCTCACCACTGGCTAGAAGAGTTGCCTCCTTTTAATGCTGCTCCATTGATCTGCTAGGCTGTGAGTTTTGATATTAATTAATTTCTCTTTTTCCTTGAAGATTGAATGCATCATTTGTGCGATATAGCTAGCCAATACCAGGCAAAGCAGGGTTTCTGATCCCCAGGCACTTAGATTTTGGTACAATAATTTCATGATACATCAGAGGTATTACTGGACATTTTAAACATGCTTCTCAACTGATGTGACGGTAGTATCTTTATTACTAAATGGCAGCATAACAATTATGTTTTTAAAAAGATTAGCAAATCAAAGCTGCCTAGCTATTTCCTGTTAAATTTAACCTGTAAAGAAAGTACATTTTCTTTATATCCTTTTGAAGAATGTTTTCATTCATTAAGTGGTCTTTTTAAAATGACCAGCACCATTTAAAATCCTCTCCCACTAAATGAACAAAATGTTGAGGTTGGACAAGTTATTTAAGTTAAAAACTGAATATTTTGAGTCTCAATCAGAAACATTTTACATATAGTTATTCATAACTGATTAGATAGTTAGCATTAAAAATGTTCTTTTCAAAACTAAGAAATGTACTAAAATTATTTCTTATCTTTTAATAGTGAATTTAAATTTTAACTGAAAATTGACAGTCCTTACAGACTGTTTCTTTCCTTTTTTTCTATTTGCGGAATGAGTCTTACATGTAGATTTATGCTGCAAGTTTCCCTGTTTTGACAATATGGGCTGGAGTCTCATGAGAAGGCCAGAGTGGGAGGGTCAGGACAGGGCACTAGAGGCAGGAGCCTAAGACAAGCTAGAGGGACGAGGGTAATCTATATGAAAGGACAGCCATAGCCATCTGAACACGTGTAGGATGAGCTTGTTGTATATGGTTTATGCTTCCGTCTTTTCTCTAGATTTGCAGTATTTAATAGCATGTTTATCGTTATACGCTTGAGAGCACATTGCTTAACTGCCAACTGGTTTGATGGTTTTCAAGTCTCAGAGACACAAGTAGTATAAAAGAAGTATAATTTATCCAGCCCTATCTGCTAAATTGTGACTCATACACTGAAGTAGTATCTTGTTTGTTATAATTTAGAATGCTGGTATATTCATTTACAGTGCTTTCTTCAGTGGTATTATCCTCACTTTTTTTTGAGTTTGGGGTGGTAAGTTTAAAATACCAGCAACTGATATTAAGTAACTTGAACTTTTTTAAAGAATCTTTCAAATGATTATGGTGTAGTGACTCTTTCAGGTTAAGTTTTGCTAGTATAGCACTGGAGATGACTTCATTTTTTTCTTTCTTTTCCCCCACAGCGGTGATTGGGTTATTATACCCCTGCATTGACAGGCATCTAGGAGAACCACATAAATTTAAAAGAGAGTGGTCCAGTGTAATGCGGTGCGTAGCCGTCTTTGTTGGTATAAATCATGCCAGTGCTGTATCCTTTCTGCTGTAATGAAATGCGTAATAACAAAGCAGCTTCCAACAAACCAAAGGTTAAACAGTCCCTTGCAACTTCAGTCTTGTCAAATTGTGATATGCCCACTTAGGCATAAAAAGAATTTGTGCCGTATTGTTAAATCATCACAGTAGCAACTATGCAATTACAGTGTGGGGTGCAGCCTTTCATTTAAATCCCTATTTTTTGATATCACTTAGAAACTTTGCATGTTTAAAGAATTTATGTTTTTCCTAATTGGTTTACTTAATTACTTCCATATAGTTTCCCTATCTCTGGGATTGAAACAGGTACATTTTCAAAGGATTTCTTTCTTCATTTAATTGCCAATAAGGACATGTGGTGGCTTCAGGTGCTGGTTTTTTCTTTTGTTTTTAATTTAAAGAACCTATAATTTTTTTTAAAAGCAGTTTTACTGGTTTTAGTCAACACCAGCAAACCATGTAAATGTTCTTAAAGGCAATATAAGTAGAAATATCTTAGACCTTGGTCATGAAGAACTTATTTTCCTAGGGCAGCTAATGTTGTACCTGTTTACCCTTACACATCTTATTTTACATTGACTCTTGATGAAGTTAATTTATCTAGTCAAGATAGAACTCAGTTAATATCAAATTCCAGTCTACACAGGAATGTTTATTGCTTAGAAAAATCAGAGCTCATAACTTTTTCTTTAGAGTTCCAGGTATCATGTCTGCTAAAAAGTAAGAAAAGCATTTCCAGAAAGCTTACCCATGGACTATAGGTTTTTGCTAAGTCAGGCCTGAACAAGGGCTGACCTTGAAGGAGTGGCCCACAATAGCCCTCAGATGCTGAGAGGTTAGCAAGCATAGGGGAGGGGGATAAACTGGGTGCTCAAGGAGCTGGAGATGATATTGTATGCATTTACTGAATTTCTCTCTTCTCTGTGGTTGGCAGCATGACCACTTAGTTTGGTGAGCTATGTAGTCTCCCCTGGGGAGCTGGATATAGAGCCAAGATGTGGCCTTTGGGACATAGATAATGCCCTTTTAATGATACTTGAAATTAATTCCTTTAGTGTAATCCTCTAGCAAAGAAATGAGAAAATTGAATTTGTAAAGCTTCATTTTGCCTAGAGATTTTGAAGTAGAAAAGGGCTGTACATTTGTGAATAGATGCTTAAGTAGGTGATGGAAATAAAATATCACTTGAGCAAAGTGTCCTATACCAGAAAGTCTCAGGCACCAAAATAACTTGGCAGGTTGCAAGATAATGTTCACTTCAAGGCTTTATCCTCAACAAATTAAAACTAGAACAGTTGACATAATAGAAAGGGATACTGTGTCCTTGGTACTCTTGTTTCTGAACTGCATTATTATAAAATATGTCTGTCAGTAAATCATATAGAGAATGTAGTGTTCTGTTAAATAGCTGTCAGCTCCTCTATTTTCAAGTTCCTGTATGATTCTCAAGTAATTCTGACCCTGTTTGAGAAGTAATATTAGTTTGCTTTTTTACCAAAAGTGTGCTCCTTTAGCAGTACCTGTACTCTGAGGCTTCTGGTTATATTTTTAGCAAAAAAAGCATTTCTCAAATAATGAGTCTGATCTTATAATTGGGAATGTATAGCAGTACTAATTTTTTTTTAAGTAATAGGTTGGTAGGATCTATTAATGATGTATCATGCCCTCTCTGTAACTTTAGTAAATATCAGAGACAGTTTTTAATTCTACTGAGTCTCATATGTCATATTAAAAGACTGCACCCTAGAATAAACCATCATTTCCCTCTCAACAGTGATGTCTCTTGTTTTAGAAAACTTAGCAGGTGATATTGTTATACATGTTTTAAGATGACTCTTTAACACTTATATCAGAAAGTGGATTTTGATAACAACATACAGTTGTCTCTCACACTGGCTGCACTATCCATTGGACTGTGGTGGACCTTTGATAGATCTAGAAGTGGTTTTGGCCTTGGCGTAGGAATTGCTTTCTTGGCAACCTTGGTCACTCAACTGCTAGTCTATAATGGTGTTTATCAGTAAGTATTCTTTTTGTGCTTGTTTGCTAAAATAAGTAAGGAATAATTGAATTGTGAATTGAGATTTGTAAATTGGATTAGCCACTTTATAGAGTCATTTATTTCCATTACAATTATCTTATAAGTATCATTGTGCTTACTCTGGGTTTTTGAAAATGTTTTTGTTATTCTAGGTATACATCTCCAGATTTTCTCTATGTTCGTTCTTGGTTACCATGTATATTTTTTGCTGGAGGCATAACAATGGGAAACATTGGCCGACAACTGGCAATGGTAAGCTAATGCTTATTTAATCTATTGTGAGATGTAAGGACCAGTTTTCTCCAAATGACAATCCTTTAAGGGAAAACATTTTGAAGATAGCATTCTTTGATTTCTCTTTTGCAATTCCATTGAATTAAATCATTTGGAAGAATTTAATCACAAGTGTATTACAAGTTGAAGGAACCACAGGATAGAAAAGCTAAAATGTGCTATGAATAGGGCAATGTGACTTATCCTCCAGTTTTTCTTTTACTCATCTGTAGGATTCTACTCTATCAAAGAGGGATAATTTTAAAAGTGAAAAGAGGCATTACTAATAACTACTTTGCTACAATATATATAAATTAGGACTATCTCTAGCAAGTCAAGATGTTTAATCATTTTAATTAAGAAGGAAAAAGACATGGTTAATAATTCCAGTCACAGATGGGTAGATGGCAGGGATCAGGGGGTGACATTCAGGGGCCACAGCAGGTTTATAAGTAAGTGTTGTCACTTTTACCATCTTAGCCAGCTAGGAAAATCGAATGGTTTATGCTGCTATCATTTTGATAATCTAGTCACCCAATTATCCTAAGCCTTTGGTTTCCTTTATTTTGAATTGTGCGTATACATTTTATAGATATCCTTTTAAAATATTGTTTTGACCAGAAAACTTTTGCTAACACAATAATTTTTTTTCCTTTCAATTGTAAAGTGATTTTTTTTTAAAGTTATCTGAATTCACTAGATCAGTCCTGTCCTTAAGTTCATGACCTGTCCTTTCCTGATTTGCCTCATTGAGCACTCAAAGAAACCCATTTTGCTTCCTTTCATAGTCTAGGATTGCTTTTTACTGTTATGCTGTTATCATTTGCTTAATGCAAAAACTTCATCTTTTTCTTGATTTTAGGTCTTTTACTTTTAGAATCTGAATTTTCTTCTTCTCTATCATTGTGTCATTTCATCCTAACTGTAGCTCTCAGATTCTCTGAGGAATAAGTGGGCATATATTAATAAAATATTAATGTTAATAGCTTTTTAGATTATATAGAAATTATTATGCAAAATTAATTTGCTAACCTTTTAACCTTTTAATTTTTACAGTACGAATGTAAAGTTATTGCAGAAAAATCTCATCAGGAATGAAGATGGCAAAAATATATGTTTTGTACAGAAAAACAAGATGAAAAGGGCATGTAAATGATAGATAGATCAACAAAATTTCAGACTATAAAATTGCCAGGATGCAGTTTTCCCCTTGCTTGGTGTGTGTGTATATATATATATATATATATATATATATATATATACACACACATGCATATACATATGTATATGCATATACATATATATGCACATATATATATGCATATACATAACCATAAACACACACATTACTGCAATCTGTGATTGCTTCATCTGTAAATCAGTTATAAACCTTTATGTATTTGACTTAAATAACTGTAAAATATATATGCACTGCATTAAAAAACATTGATTAATAGATGCAATTTTAAAATTAATTTTTAAACATACCATATACAGTGCTACAATGTTGATGTGCCAAAATATTCTGTTATTCTCATGCAGAGTGTAAGAATGCTTTGAACAGTTTGTTTATAAACTTGGTGAAATAAAGTAAGAGGAAAGCCAAAAAAAAAAAAAGTAAATGGAAAGCTAGTATATTCTCTTTTGCTTGCTGTTGTGCCTGTTTGTTTTCTAATCATAGCAGTATGAGTTATGGATGCCCTACTATGTGGTTAGTTTCTGTTTTAATGTAGTCTGAGTGAGAGCTTTGGATGTTTTAATTTATGAAGACAATGAATTTCCATAGAACATTTTTAAACCTGCATTCCTGGAGAGAGTTCAAACAGTAATTTTCTGTTTTGACAGACTGTACTTGAGGTAAAGTGATGGGTAGAAGAGGTTATCAGTGTTAAATTGTTTTGAGTCTAAATCTGTAAGACTATCTGTAATTGTAAGTCAAGACCATTAGGGAATTCAAATAAATAAATATGTTATAGAAATACAATATGACTTCAGTGCCACAAAGTGTTAAGAGATTAACTATCATTTGCAGTACAGTATCTCACTGCTTTTGTACATGGAACACATAAGAAACCCCAAACAGATCAAAAAATTAAGTTTCTAATTCTCTGAGGTTCTATAAGCTATTGGGTTCCACAAGGCAGACCTTGTTAGCTGAGCTGGGTCACATGACTGTCAGTGGCGCACCATCTGGGGAATGGATTGCTACATAATCCTGTTTAAGCATGTACTGAGATGGTATACTGTTCATGTTAAAGACCTTGATACCAGTTGTGTGTGTATCTTTCCAACAACTAGAGCTATTTAAGTATCATTTAGGCATATTCTTAGGTAATTATTTTTTCTCAATTTTTATTTTTGAATTTGATGGCAGTTGTCTAACATAAGAGTGAATCTGCTGACTTTGGGTATGTGTGAGTTGGTGTGCATCTGTGTTAAATTGTGTGAAAGAATGTATATGTATATATGTATATGTATGTGCCCATGCTTTCTTAATACATCAACTGGATATTTTTTAAAATTTTTGGTTTTAAAGCCACTGCTGTCAGACTGAGATCTTGTATGCCAAACTTCAATCTTCTTTTACATTTTAAGGCCAAAAGTATGAAAATCCTAAGAGGATTTCATATTGAATATATGTACACAATCTTAACTATAATGGTGGTAAACATACTACCATAATTTATTATTCTATCTTCCAGATATTATTATTCATTTAAAACAAATAGGGTATATTTTTAGAACCAAATTTTTAAGCACTGTAAATCTTTGGTAAGTTAAAAAGTATATGATATGTTTACTTGAAAATAGCTGTTAAAAGCAAGATGTATTAAATATACAATTATCATCTTGGTTATGAGTCTTTTTTCTTCCTTGTGGTAAATCTTAGATGAAAGTACTGAGGATTAATTTTTAAAAGTTAATATGTGTGGTTGAATTCATTAAGAAATAATGAAAGGAAACTAAGTTTAGTAAACAGATATTGAATGATTGTCATTTTGGAGTTCTTAAATTGTTTTTGGATCATGTAGGAAACAAAAAAAGGTATTTATGGCAAAATATAAAACTTCTGATTTTTTAATAAGTTGTGTAAAGTTATTCTGTCTGTTTGCAATGAAAGGAAGTGGTAAACATCTTTTAACCTAGCTGTATTGTCAGTGTTTCTTTGCATTTACTATTTAAAGTTACAGAAATTGAACAGTTGAAAACTGAGACTAAATTCTACAAAGCACAAGAAAACAAAATTTTAACTGGGCAGAACACTGTGAACACATCTGTTGGAAAGTGTATTTGTTGGCACTGAACTATTTTACCTTCATTAAGGTCACTGGAACCTCTCAGTGGTGCATGCATTTATATATCCTATATTTTCAAGATGGAATCCAGACTTGGTCAATATCATTAAATACCTCTCTAATCTTTGTAGCTTACTTACCTACATAATGAAGTCTATTCTTTGTAAGGTAATTTAATGTGAATAGTAGAGTCCTAGCTTTGTGTGTCTGAGAAAGTCTGTTTCATTTTTCAAACTGAACCTTAAAAATTCCAGGTTCAGTTTCCCCCTACTGCCATCACTTTGAAGATTTTTAACTCATTGTTTTCTGTCACCTAATCTTGAAGAGGACAAGTCTGCTATTCATGTAATTTCCTTTGCAGACTGTCTTTTCTCTCCTGGAGCTTTTACATGATTTTCTCTTTATCCTCAAAGTTATTTGGTTTCACTTTGACGTGTTTAGTTTTAGATTTGTTTTTATTTTTCTTGCTTGGTATTCACTTTCAGTTTGTGAGTTCATGTCTTCAATTCTGGAAATATTTTAAATCTGGCTGCATATTCGAATCATATGGGGACTTGCACAAGTATGCAGATACCTGGCTCTGACCCTCAGAGACTAATATCATTGGTCTGGGGTGTGCTCTGAGCATTAGGGTTTTTATAAGTTCCCTAGGGTGAGGGGCATCTGGTAGAGATGAGTCATAAGCAGTTGGATATTTGAGTCTGGATTATTGGATGCAAATGGGGGAACCATCAGCATATAGCAGCAATAAATGAAGTATGGGAGTGGGTGAGATCACCTGGGGAGCAGGTTATAGTGAAAAAGGCATTTGAGCCATACTGGCATATTGGCAGAGATGCTGGTGAAGGAGGGAAAGGAGGTAGACAGGGTATGCTCAGAAGTAGGAGGGAAAACAAAAGAGTGATGTGGAGGAAGCCAAGGCAGGGAGTTTCAGGCAGAGGGTAACTGGTAATATGAAGTAGGAATAATTAACCTTGGAGACAGAGGAGATGCTAACTGATTGTTTTATGTTGAAAAAAGCTATGTCTAACCAACTTTATCTTCTTGTTAAAAGTATTCCAATATATACTAATAGTTGACAAAATATATTTGAGAAAAGCCTGAACTAAGTCATTTATTTTGAGTAGGAGCAGGAAGCAGCTAAAGAACTTTGAAAAAATGTGAAGATGTGGACAACATCTGTGAAGAACAGGAACTGACTAGGGATGAAGAAAGGATTTCCAGACAGTTTTGAGATCATCAAGGACCCTGGTGAAGCTAGAGACTAGATATTTACAGTGGAGCCAACTGAAATGATTGTGCCATGTCTGTGGGCTCAGTAGCTCAGGAGTTCAGGCCAACTGTGATGGAGTAGATTGACTCTAGTTGGGAATTAATTGCTATACTTGGAAAAGTTCATAGAGGCTCCTGAAAGATGAGGTTTACCATGGGATCCGAGCAAATTGGGGAAGAAGTTGAACCAGCAGACTGACCTGACAGCATGAGAGAATACGGTGAGGTAAAAGGCCTGCGTATCTTCAGGAGGTTAAAAATTCTTTTAAATAGGCTTGGAGTTTGCAGTCGGAGAGGAATTTAGTAGAGTATTTCCATATCTTGAGGTCCAGGGTTTGGTCTGAAGAACTGTGTTTACATAGTTCACCAAAGTAGGTGGAAAAGAACTGCAGTGGAGTGGAGATTCAAGGCCTGGGTTACCAGCTGTTACCCGGACCAATCTCAGAGGTCAGGTGAAAGGAAGGGTCTTATCTGTAGTCCTCGTGACCATTTGAGTGCAATGCTTATCCAAATGCCTTGACTGTATTGGGATTTTAATTAGAGTTCCATTTCCCCCTTTTTAAAATTTGTTTGTGGGTTTTTTTCATTGTCCTAGGTGTACTGAAATTTCATAGAAATGATCCTTTTTCTATTAATCTGGTTCAGACACCATCTCTAATTTGGGACAATATTTTTCTGTTTTTGCTCTTATTATTCCTTTGTACACTTTATTCTTTTTTTCTAAAATTCCTTTTTAAGAGATCTTTGACCTTTTCCTTCTGTTTTGTGTATATCCCTTAGCTTTTATCTGTTGTGCTACATTCTGGAAGAATTACCTGGATCTTCCAGCTCTGTGAGTTGCTCTTCATCTGTATCAATTCAGGGTTCAGCCCATTGAGCCCTTGCTTTTTTAGTTTTAGCAATCACAGTTTTAATTTCCAAGATCTCTTTGTGTGTATAAAAGTGTGTTGTCATTCTTGTATATTCTGAGGACATTAATTACTTGTCTGAAGTCCTAAACTCTTCTAAAGAGCCATTGCAGGGAAGGGCAAGGTAAGCCTGTAGCAGCCTGTGTCTGACTGAATACTCCCTGGTTTGCCTTGGGTGTGTGGCCATGCCTCTGTAAACTTGGTCCTCACTCTTACTGCTTGCATCTGGGGGCAGATACTATGTTGTCTCTGCCCAGTCCAAGGTGGGCTAGTAGAAGTGTGGAGGACTCGCCCAGATGACTGCCTCCACTATAGCCTGCTTGCATCAGGTCAGTTGCCCTTGGTAGTTTCATGTCCAAGTATCAGCCACCTCTAAGTCCTCTTTCTTAATGCTTTGAGCTTTGGTTTCTCTTCATCTATCTTCTCTCAATTTTTTTCTTGTTTTGAGGGATTCCTTGTTTTATGGTCCATGGAGGATACTTCTTATTTGACAGTAAAGTTATGGATTCCTTGACTTAAAAAAATATATCTTTTTGTTGCTATTTTTATGAATTTGGGATAGGACCAAGAAGCTATAGCTCGATTAGACTGCTGTCATGATTCAACCTTCTCCACTACTTATTTGTACCATAAAATCATGCCATCAGTTTGATCATTTGTGTTTACATTTCAAAAACTCAATTCACTTGGGATCTGAGATAAATAGGTGAAGTCAGTGTTTTCTTAACTTGGTCTCAATAAAATTGGGGTATGGAGACTTTTTTTCCCCTCAAAATACATTTAGTTCATTGAGTTCATTGAGCCAGGAAGTGTAAGTATACAACTATTTGTTCCTTTATGCCTCCCTTCTTTTATCACCAATGAAATCTATGAAACCTGTCATCTTTCTCTGTGATTTACAAGACACACTTTTCCAGGGTATGTCAACTGTTCTGAAGACAATGTTGTTAAGTATGAGATTTGGCAGATCAGATAGAAAATGATGTACCTGGGAAAGAATGGGCTATTGATGAGCCTCTTGTCAAAATGGATTGCCATATACGGGCAATTTTTCCTTTTCACTATTGCTGCTTCTGTGAGGATTTTTGTGAACGGGGCAGTTTTGATTCCAAATTAAAATTGTGCACTGGTGCAACTGAGGCTTATTTTGCTTCTTCACCTCAGGATATTTAGCTGCTAGTTGTTTGTGGCTTCCCTAGAGGTGGGCTTTAAAAGTAATGAGCACTTAGGGAGCAGATTGCCATTAAAAACAATCCTTTTTGTTAAAATAATCCTTGTTTTAATTGCCATTAAAAACACTAAGTTCACTCCACACCACTGTGTTTCTAAGATTATTCCATTTGCGAGTATTCGTTTCTTTTTAGAAATACTTTTTGAGGAAAATTGTACAGAATGTGATCATGACCAATTCATTGTGATGAGTGAGTGAGTAGACAAAGGAAAGAAAACCCAAGTGCTGAATCTGTTTTAGAAAACAAGTTCCTAAAATGCATTCCCTGGGAAATTCTGCCATTGAATGAAATTCATTTCTCTTCCCTTTATAGTCATCACATGTCATTCCTAGATCTTCTGGGAATGTCTACTTAACCACAGTACAAGAGTGGCAGTTCTGTTTTGAAACAATTCTTTCTGCTTCTACAAAAGCTTGAGATTTTCCAGCAAGACATTACAGAAAGACAAAGTGCTACCCCACCATCTTAGGCTCAGCTGGATGCAGCTGCTGTGCTTAGTGTCTACACACGTGGCTTGGGAAGCCTGCAGACTGACAAATTGAAGATGAAGCTTAAAGATATTTGTAAAGACAGATCTCGGATTTTCTATGCCTCAAACCTAATGTGTGTCAGTCTATACCCTTCCAAGAGAAAGCAGGTCAGTGTACGTTGTTGAAGCAGATATTTCTAGAATATATGTAAAATTCATAGTAAATGTGAGTCAGGTTCAGCTTTTTTCTAGAAAAATTAAGTTAGTGATCTTTAAATGTTTAAGGGGATTAGTTCTGGTCCTTTGGCCCCAACTAATTGCAAGGGAGCTGGGATGTGTAATCCACCCCTGAGGGATAAGAGAACCAAATATAGGCAATGTCCACTGCAGTTGGTATAAAGCATTTTGTAGTGTTCCCTTCCATTAGAATATTTTCCTTCCTAAGTGATTCATAGTGAACACAACTTAAAAAAAAAACAAAAACAAAACGTTTTTTGCTGGTAAAATTAAAATTATAGTCTTTAAAACATACATAAACTTTATATCTAAGTCCTGGAATGGTGGGAAAGAAGGAAGGAGTTCACTTTTGTCTTTTCCTCTCATGTAAAATAAGTAGTGAGGGGGAGGGAGTTAATCAAGTGTTGCCTTTATGCCTCCTGTAAACATCCCCACCACAGCTCTCCAAATATTGACCCCATTATAGCTGCCAACAGCAACATTTTTCTGAAAGGCAGAACTGGGTTTCAAACTCTGCTCTAACTTCACTCCAGTGACCAAGGATTCTCCTTGTCACCACAGTACTGTCTCTGTAAGTCTCTGCAAGTGGTTTTGCACATGCATTTCCAGCAGATTGCTAAGACTATCACTTAGAGTATGTTACTCGGCACCATACGAATTGTTGATGTGAATGCAACCTTGATTTCAGACATATGTTCTGTTCATTATGTTCCTCCACTCTGGAGTTTGGGTCCTGTAGAAAGTTAACATAATAAGTAATCTTAGAAAGTCCAGTGACCTCAGCCTTCGGTGAAGGCCTAGACTTGGACCACATGAGTCTCTTGATAATAGATTGTCTATTGCAACCTCCACAGTCCCATATGAGAATCTGACAGAATAGAAAGGAGATAACATTTTTTTAAGCAGGTTTTGACTAATAACTTTTTAAAAAGTCTAGTTTTAGAGAAGTCAGTGAGTTTTTGTTCTGGGTGGTATAGTTTTGGATGGGCCCTGTATTATGTAAGTCCTGGCCTTGTGGGATCCATGCAAATGGCCTATGTAGATGGTAAGTTCTGTAAGAGAACAGCATGTTAACATGCTGGTCAGGAAAGGCCTCTGAGAGGTGGGGACATAGGTATTGATGAGTTTAGAGGAAGGGTCCAACTCAGCTTGAGGTGGGAGGGCATTTTTCCTTGGTGTGGGATGGACAGTAAAACAAGATAGGCAGACAGGGGATAGTCTCTGAAGTACTCTGAATCCGAAGTCCAGTCTGGAAATAGTGAAGATTGCAGGTGGAAGAAGTAGTGGAAGGTAGGACTTAAAATACAGTGATTGGCTTCCCTTTGGGATTTAAGTGACCCCTATAAAGTGGACAAGCAGAGTGTGCTTCTGTTAGGCAGGGTCCACAGCTGCCCAGGGGGTTGCTTTTAGGAGGCATACAAGTTGAGACTGGCCCCCCTCTACCACAGTTGATAGCATTCCCGTTATTAATCAATCAAACATTGCTATCAGACTTTTCTTGAAAAAGAATGTTCTGAGGTGATCAAGGTGTGGCCATGAGGTCTGGGAAGCTTCAGGGAAGAGTCAGCCTTGGGAATCAAACAATCCAGCTTGAGCAAGGGAGAGTTACTTACAGGCCAGGACTCTGGGCAGTTCCCCAGGCTTTTAAACTTCAGTTTTCTCATCTGTAAACTCAGATACACGACCATCTTACTTTCAGGACTGTGAACATTAAATGCAGTATTAGGTAAGCAGGTGTCCAAATAAACCTTAATGCCTTTCCTTTTTGCTCTTGTTTAGTCACTTCAACAAATGGGTCCTGAGCCAGCACACAGGATTTCCTTTTCATTAGGCTACTTCCCTAGGTTACTGTCAAAGTGAAGGGAAGCATATGCCCGAATCCGCTATGCCCACTGACCACCTACCCCAGCTTCACTCATCAGGTTAGTTATAGGGACCAGATATCCTAAGGAAGTAGAACAGAAAACTGGCTAGTTGTTACTGTACTGAGGACTGTTGGGCTAGAAGTTGGGTCAGGTTTGGCTGGCGTGTTACCCCGGTAGGGAAGCTCAGATGAGGTGCCACAGATGGTGTGAGGACACCAGAGGAAGGAAGGGGGTGGGAAGTGGAGATAGGTTTTGTCAGCATTTCATTTTTGCCTAGGGATAATAGCTCTCTCCTCGTACTTTACAGTGTCACCTCAGTGAGAGTGTAGTTTCCCAAAGAAGTTACATTTTAATTAGCCATAAGGAACTGGTTTCTTATGTAGCAGTCCTTTCTCCAGGCCTCATCATTTCGGATTGCTTTTGCCCAGGTCTGCCGCTTGCCTGCTTCTTTTCATGCGTATCAGAAGGGAACCACCAAGCAGCCTGGAAATCCTCTCACCAGACCTCAGGATATTAATTGTCGAGTTCTCTCCCACGGTTACACAAGTGCTGAAAAAGTGGTTCTCTTTCAACAGTGTCCTGTCAAAATGCCAGGCACAGTTTGTTTTTGACATTTGCTGCTGCTGTTAAATAATAGTCTTGCTTCTGTCATAGCTAATGTTGACTTGAAGGCATTTGAAGGGCATTTCTCAACTCCAGCCTTAACTGTGAGACCTGTGTCTTGACATATTTTTCTTACTTGCCCAGGGCAACTGGATATAAGGGTTCCGACCTTTGCTTTTCTAAGCTCAAGAAAATTTCAAATGGGCAGGCACCACTTAAAACTTTAGGTCTAATTGTACTGAATGCATGCATTCACAGACATAAATGCAGGCACACAAACAAGCTGGAGTCTGACATTTTGCCATTCTAAGAATACCATTTGAACCAATTAAATAGTATCCCTTTTTAGGACCCCTTAAATCCTGGCTGTTCTGCCTTGGTAAATCTTTATCTGTTAGAATGTCTTACTTAATTAAAGATCTCTTTAAAATCAACAAGCAGTTTTACTGTTGCTGTATTTGCAGTGGAGCAAGTCCCCGGTCACCGCCCAGCTAACAGTGTGCACTGTGTGTGCTATCTGTCCAAGAGAATCTGGGCTCTTCACATGTAGCACTTTCTTCTCTTACTATGTCCATAAGAATTTAATTTATGATCATTTTTCCCACTTCTTCTGAATTTTTCCTCCAGTTTTTTATAGATGAACATGTAGAGACCTTCTAATAGGATCGTAATTTCTGAAATGTTCACTGTTTATGAGGTAATAGAGGGGAGAGTAAGAAAAAAATTGGGCAGAGCAAGAATTCTATGGAATGGTGTAGGAGTTGGCATCAATTGTACATGAATAGGCCAAGAAATGTGCAGTTGGTTTCAAAATCAGTACCAAAGGGGTAGTTAATTAGACAATTTTGTGTTGTGCTTTCAGAAAAATAGAAGTTTACCAGTCATTAGGATTTCCAAAAAGTAAGACAACTTGGCTTTGGAGCACTGTACATTGAGCAGTAGACTGTAAACCTAACATATGTTCCATCAGACCCTGCAACATCCTTTTCTTTGACTATCCTTCTGTCTCAAAATTTATCCTCAAATTTTGAGAAATAATTATTAGAGGTTTCTAAAATTACAAAATCTTAGCATGTAAATTATTGTACTGTCACCTCTCACTCTCTCCTTCACTTTGAGGCTAATATTTGTTTGAGAGACTAGTTTTAGATGGCAGCAGTTTTTCTTCTTCTATGAAGAATTTGGATTTATTTAAAATCAACATGTAATTATCCCATGATGATTCATATATATCACATAGCCACTTAACTGAGTTATAAGATTCACAGAGGAGAGTGAAGGGACCCTAAAATTCATGTAGGACAGTCCAATCTTCTCATTTCACAAATACAAAGCAAAACTCATTGAATCGGGGCTTGTTCTAGGTCATACAGCCAATTAGTGGCAGCATGAAACTTTCTAGTAGCTTTAAGAGGGTGTAACATTTTAATTCATGAAAAATGTAGATTTAATTTTGTAACTGGTAGATTTATAGCAATGTTGACAACTGGTAGGAAATGGGCATGCATGAATTATGAATGTTTTTATTATGCAGGGCAATTATTTGTTACCTTAAGTAATAGCTGGTAAATAACACTATTAATTATATGCTTTACATATACCACCTCACTTAATTACCCCATTAATATAGTGAGTTAAAGATTATTATCTATGAAGAAACAAGGTTAGTCCTTTATATGTGCAGAAATAGTGGCTTACAGAGGTCATACATACCCTGCCAACATGGCACAAGTGGACTCTGCAGCTGGGGATGGAGCCCAAGTCTTCATTCTTCCCAGGATGCATCTCTCTGTGATGTCAACACAGGAATAGGGTTGGTGGGATTTGGTTTACTCCTATGAAATGTTAAATGTAGAACTTAAGCATATGTGTAAAAATCATGCATGCCCTTGCCCTTTCCTAAACAAATTTAATTTTTAATTGGAACAATAAACAACTTCACTGGACAATTCTTGGCTAAGAAATGAGTTCTGAGCCTGAGATTTATCATTTGGTGATGAAGTTATATGTCTTGAAAGAAGAGGTGTGGGGAAAGATTATTTGCATCATGACTTATAAAGTGGAGGCATTTTTAAATCAAAGAATTGTGTTAAATATTTTCATATAAAGAAATAGGATGTAAAACACTTCTTACCAGGTATGTTTTTCATTTATGACTTAAATATGAATCTCCAAGCCACTCAGTTTGCAATTTCAAAATTAAAGTTGGCACACCAAAAAAGAAAAGTGTTAAATATTGTTGGTCTGTCCACAAAAGAATAATAACAAAATAGACCCATCATTTTCTAAGTTTCCACTGGACTTGTATAGGAAACAACATGACAAGCATTATGAAGTTCGAAGTGATTTCTGCATAAGCCCTTATATTTTGACTTTCATGACCTTAATGAAGACAGGACAGAAAAAATACAATTAGGCTAATTGTCAGATCAGGACTCTAATTAATGCATATAAATGCAAGAGGTTCATATTTTCTCTCCCTTTGCCCCACCTTTAGCTCTGAAAAGGCTAGTCCTACGTGCCACATGAGATACCACTCCTTCCTGAACACTCCCTCCTAACCAGGCCAGTCAGGAAACTAGAGCTGCAAGGTCATGGAAGGAGTGGGGTTGGCTCAGTGGGACTCCATGGCTGAGCCCTAAATCATCTGGGACTTTGGGGTTATGCATGAAAGAACACCTGATTCAAAATGACTTCAATAGGAAAGAAAGTTATTGGTTCATGAAACTGAAAAGCAGGATTGGTTTCACATATGCTGGGATTCAGCTTTCAAAAAGTGTCATCCGTACTTAGCTTCTTTCCATCCCTCCATCCTTTCTGCTGTGTTGCCATTAGTCCTGGGCTTCACAGAGGCAGCTGGCAGTCCCAGCCTCCGGTCCTCTCCCATTCACATCCTGCTTCTCAGGAACCTAGGAGGACTCCTCACACCGGCTCAGGTCAGGCCAGGTGGCTGTTGCCAAACAGTCCCATGGCTGGCTTTCCACAGAGAAAATGGGATCTGATGACAAAATAAGGGGAAATGTAAAAAACAGGTGTCCTATATCCAAACCGTAAAGTCATAATGTGGAAGCTGCAAAATCAAGAGAAATGAACAATTGACAATGAGGAAAGGGAAATGAAAACCATCTGGTCTTCCTACTTCCCATGAAACATTCCCTTCCAAGAAACTCTTTAAAAAGGATTTAAACTGAATGTTTTTCTGTTCTGTGTAACTAAATGACCATGACTACGACAGTTTGCTAGTGTTCCCTTTACCCATTAAGATGATTCTAGGTAATATGTAAGGTACAGTGTAGACAACCTACAAATAACTCATGTCCCTCAATGGGAAGAGAAGACTGGCCACCAAACAGATCATCCAAAGATTATTTGGAGCAATTAGATTTATGGTTTGAACTAAATGATCTTGGAGGCTTCCATGATCCCTGAAGATCTAAGGTTGTCTGCTTCTCAAAAACCACTCTATGCAGTTTCATGCAAAACTCACCTTTTCTCAACCCTTTCCCTACTTTTATGAGGTATGTGTTAATTTATAACTTAAACTTGAAACAAGTAAAGTTCCCTGTTCAACCTTCTCCCTTGGTGTAACAGAGGAGGCTCCTGATAACCTATGTGGTAAAGCATGAATTGGTCACACTCACCTTTAAACAGGGTGATCTTTTGCAAATAAGAGCATTCAGGTCAGTGACTGGCAACACCATTGAAGCAGTTCTCTAGAATCTGAACTAAACCATTTCAGTCTCTTATTTAAAATGAAAACTGGGAAAGGAGAGCCTACAACCTGTCTGAGAAACCCATCCTAGAGTTTTAGGTGTTCTCATCTTCATTTGGCATTTACCAGATACTAGATTAGAAGGCTTATGAGATCAATGTGCTCTTTAAGATGATAGGGTTATATTTTGTTTAATTTCTGCTTCAGGTCTTTAAGTAGGCAGCTTGTGGGATTACCTTTGGACACATCTTCTCACAACATCATGGTTCGAGAGAAGGACCACCTTTCCTGTTCTTCTGCTTCACAGAGATTCTATACAATTAGAGGACAGGTTTCCTGGGCTTGTTGATCCACCTTACTACTCAACACAGACGAATCCAAGTGGAATACCAGGAGCTCCAGTATTGGAATCAAGTTTCCCAGCCTGTGTCTGTGCAAGCTCTGTGTATGGAGTAATACCTTCAGTCATTTGGCTTAGGTCCCTGCCATAGCTAGCTAAACAACTTTGATTTTTGGCAAGCCAAATAATTCCATTGGGATGGGATGTCTTTACAATTTCAGAATGAGATCCTCTTATCTTTCCAAAACCATTATGTCCTTTCTTAGTAAAGTTGATACACTGGGTCAGTCTCCCCCCACATGTCATAAACTCCTTTCTCTTTTCATAATTACTGGAGTAAGTTTGGAATAATATGGAAAAAAAATGCTGCCATCTGAAGCCAAGCTTTGTAGGGAGGTGTTAGATAACTCTTGGCAACAGAGGAAAGCTCTGAAAGCTGGACTTGGAGATAAATACAAGAAATTCACCCCTTTATGGCTGCTTTTTAATAATGATCCTTTTCCCTGAGGGTTGATTAGTTTTCTTTTTCATTGGCAATCATTAGTTCTTACCTGTCCTGGGAAAGTGACTATTTCCAAGCCTGACACTCACAATCCATAAAGAATGAAGGTCATGTGCATGGGAATTAGAGAGGACAGGAGATGCCTATTAAAAATACAAGCTGTGACGTCTAGAAGGATTTATCCCTTGTCAAATTTTAGGTTTCTGTTGTTTTATATGTTAATCATATTAAAAGTGAATTTATTCCATAGCTGAGTGATTCATTCAGGAATCAAAAAGTAAACATTGTAGAGGTTGCATTAGAGTAAAACATTTTTGCATCTACTATGGGGTTAGCCCTGCAGCCCTGTGAGGTGAGACAGGCAAGGGTTGCTATTAAATGGATTAGCTCATATCACCCAGCAAATTACACCCTCTTTCAATATCACTAAATGCTGCTTTTATGCATACAAGGAGCAGTGGCTTGTGGTGGGAAGGCTCTGGAGGAAGAGCCATATATCAGGGAGCTAGTTTGGGATCTGCTAGTAGCTGGCTGGCTGATTCAACAACTTCAAGTCTCTGTTTCTTCCCCTATAAAATGAAGCCACTGGAAGAGCTGGTCTCTAAAAGAGGCAACGGAGCATATTATCTAAGGTTGGGGCCCTGCAGATCTGCCATCACTAGCAGTTTATATTTGGGAAGGTATTTTACCTCTGCTTGCCTTGTTTTTTAATGCAAAAAATAGGAATATTATGAGTTTGGGTGAGCATTAAATAACCTAAGTCATACAGAGAGCCTAGAAGAGCACTTGGCTCATAGTAAATGCTCAAATGTAGTTATTTGCAACATCACCATCTAAAATCCCTCCAAGCCACAAATAGGACCTTGTCCTACATGCTATGTAGATATAAAACAGGAATGAATCTTCCAACCTGATCTGTGAACCAAAATCCAAGTATGAAAAAATCAGAAAACAATGCAAAATTACCTGATTAAATGAAGATTGATTTTTCCTCCTTTCAACTGATACCAATAAATATTAGAAAATAAAGGCCTTGATGAATTTTTGGGACCCTTTTCTTTATGGTAAGAGTGATTTTTGATTGGAGATGCTCTAACAGGCATCTCCAACAGATCTTATGATTTCTCCACACCCCACTTCCCCGCCCCAGAACTGGGTCCTCCAAGCCTTTCCACATCTCAGTAAACAGCAGATGAACTGGACCAAAAATGAATAAGGATACAGAAGACCTAAGCAACATAATCTTATAGGAAGATGTGATGAGTATAATCAAACTATGTACCCTGAAGGGAGAGAATATATTTTTACTTTGAGTGCCCATGAGGAGCCACAGTAATTGAACATATCATTGACAAAGGGAAGCACAATAAATTTCAGAAGGCAGAGATAATGTAGACCTTATTTTCTGTTCAAAATGCAGTAAAATTAAAAATTAATAAAAAAATCAGAATTTTAAAGAAGTTGTCACTTAAACAACTTTTGGGTTAAAGGACAAGTGTAAGTCCAAACCGCAGAATTTCTAAAAACCAATGACAATGAAAATACTACATTTAGGGTCAGAATCTAGAAGATGGAATGAAAGCGGTATTCACAGGAAGTGTGTCATAGCCTAAAATATCAATAAAAAAGGATGCAATAGAAGGAATAAAAATTAACTCAAAAAGTTAGAAAAAAGAAAATAAACCAAAGAAAAGCACAAGAAGTAAGATAAAAATAAAAACACTTTTAAAGAGTCAGATAAAGGGAGAAAGCAAAGTAAATAAGTGAATACCTGGATCCTTGGGGCAAAATCAGTAAAATAGATAAGCTTTCTTGGATATCAAGGAAGAAAGAACAAATGCAAAATACAACCAATTATAAAAAAGTAATGCAGAGAGCAAGGATATTTCAAAAACATTTTGGCACAACTTTATGTATACAACTTTGCAAATTGGAAAGAAAAGGATACTTCTCCAGGAGAATATAATTTATGGAAACCAAATTCTAGAATGTCTAAATAGATCAGTTTTCACAGCAGAAATTAGACAAAATGATAAAGGAGTTAATTTTTAAAAAGCACCTGTTCTAGAAGTTTTCCAGGCAAATTTAACAAAACCTTTAAAGTATGGATGATTCCAACACTATTTAAACTGTTTCAGAGTATACACAGAGGACAACTTCCAAATTCTTTTTATCCAGCAAGGATAACATTGATAACAAAGTATGTACAAAAAAAGTAATGATAAATGAATCTCACATATGAATATTGATGCATAAATCTTACATAAAATATTAGCAATCAAAATGCTGCAGCATACTAAAAGAATGATACTTCATGACCAAGTGCAGCTTTTTCTAGAAATGAAAAGACAGTTCATCAAAGTAGATCTCAGAAGAAAAATCATAAGATCATCTCTATAGATACTGAAGGTGCATTTTACAAAATTCTGCACATACTTGCATTTACATAAGGAAGCACTGGAAGGAAAGATAAGATACTAATGAAAGTGGTGAATCATGGGAGCAGAAAGCAGGGCTATGAAATGGGGTAGATACTAGCATGGGTGGGACAAGGTTCTCAGTGTATATCTTTTTATATCATTTTCATTTTGAGCCATGTAATTTTACCTGTTCAATAATTAACATCCTCCATAAATGCTAACATGATTG